AAAAAAAAAAAAAAACAGGAAAAAATCTGAGCAGGGAGGGACAGGACACCCAGTCTTCATCTGACCCCACAGACTGGGATGGCCCAGAAGGTGGGTGGGAGTGAGGGATGGCCATATCACCATTCACCAAGAGGTTATGTGGTATAAGAGTAACAAGGGGAATATCGCACCTTTCCAATGGTTGGTGTCAGGAATGTCCTTGTGGTTCCCAGCAAGTGGAGCTTATTCTTAAGTCCCTGGAATCTAGGAGGACGCTGTTGCTTTAAATATCCTGAATGGTTGAACCACTTGTAAACATTCAAAATGGCTGTGCCCTCCAGACAGGCAAAAGTCCACAGCTCAGCCTGCCTTCCTCTTCACTGCTTCCCTTTTTATTCACCAGCCACCAGTGCAGTCCTCTGTGCAGCCCCTGGCTAGCAGGTTGATTTTTAGGTTAATTGTTAGGTCCTAACACCACTCAGCAATATCCCAGCTGTCTGTCCAGTCAAGATTGCTGACAGACCACAGCTCCATATGTATCCTTTTTTGGTGTTTTCATTTGGGTTCTTCTATTAGTTGGAGTTTAGTCCACTTCTATATCCTTTCCTTCAAAGCTCAGGGCTCCAGGATTACCTTCTGTTTCTGTGTCATTTGGTCCTCCTTTTCTTTGTTGAGGATGGTCTGGGCAGTTTGTCTGCATATTCCATCATGTTACTGGAACCTCTTATTTATTTATATTTTAACTGGCTTTTAATGTCTTGCAAGAAAGAGAAGGGAATTTCATTGTGAGACACACCATTCTGTAGTATACTGATGAAGGGAAGACTGGAGGAGGCCAAGCTTCTCAAGTCACAGCAGGCAGCTCTTACTTATTCTCCTCTCTCATTGGGACCAACTCATCTTAGGGACTTTCATCCAGATCTAGGCAGCTGGATTGCCCTTTGCAAAAGTGTCTGTGCAATTAAGAAAATTTTAATACTCAAAATACCCTCAAAGATCTTCTAGTCCTGGAGGTTTGAACTTGTTATCCAGGGTTTCTGGCAGGGTGTCTGTGAATGACCTTCAAGGAGCTTAACAACTCATGATATTCTCTGTAAAGTTTTGCGTGAGTATTCTTAAGTATTTTTTTTTATCCCTGAAGACAAGTTCTATAGCCTTCACGAGATTCTTAAAAATCTCAGACACCTGGAAAAGGTTATCATGATTTTAATTGAAGCTCCTTAGAGAAATGAATGTCCCTGGGTAGTGCAAGCAGTTTATGATTGGCTGCTAACCTAACGTTGGGAGTTCAGACCCACCTAGTGGCTCCATGGGAGAAAGTCCTGGTGATCTGCTTCGATAAAGATTACAGCCAAAGAAAACCTTTATATGTCCAAGGACAAAGTTCAGAAAGCAAGAAGTGTTAGGAAAGAAAGAGGAACGGAAATGGGAAACATAGAGAGGAAGTGGTATAAGTGATATTACTTTGTGGAGATTGCAATCAATGACATGAAATAACATGTGTATGTATTTTTGAAGGGAAAACTGATTTGCTCTATAAACTTTCACCCAACTCACAATAAAAACTTAAAAATAAATAAATAAATAATAACCTCTATGGAGTAGTTCTAGGAGCTCTGGTAGTGTAGTACCTAAGGCACTTGACTGCTAACCAGAAGGCTGGCAGTTCAAATCCACCAGCCACTCCTCAGAAGGAAGACTGAGCAATCTACTTCCATAGTGATACTTCCTTGGAAACCCAAGTAGGGGTCACTATGAGTCAGATCTGACTCCATGGCAGAGTTTTTTGGTTTTTATGGAACAGTTCTACCTTGTAGAACTGGAGTTGTCATGAATGAGAATTAGTTTCACATCAGTGAGCTTTTATTAATTAATCATAACTTTTAGTAGAGATTACACAGTTACAGGTAGAGGCATATGTGAAGGGAATATTGTCAAGACATGAACTCAGGTTTCTTGTTGCTTACATGATGCTTTTTCTACTTGCTCCACCATATGAGATCTTTAAGCTTTCCTTTGATCCAGGAGCTATCACATGTACATTGTACACTCTAGCTATGCCTGTCCTCTTGCCATGGTTAAGTAAGAATTTCCATATGGAAGTAGTTTTGGAGAGCTGGAGAAGGCTGCTGCTCTATCTCACAGCTACTGATACCTACCAGCTGACTTTCAACTCTGAATGTACTGCTTGCCATTACTTTAAAAATAAAAAAATAAACTTTGGAACTACTTATCCCTGGAGACATGGTGCCCCACTTTGGCATCTGTGGAGTAACACTGATTGCAGAGAACAAACATAACCCTCAAGGCCGCCCTTCCACACAGCACAATGTAAAGAGATAAATCACTTGAATTAGTCAACCTTGAAATGCTCACACTTTAGGAAACTGTTGTCTAAGGACAACACCTGGTTTAAGTTACCAGGGTACATAATTATATACCCATTCTTATAGTCAATATTTCATCAGCCCTGGGAGAGGGAAAAATTCCCACCTGAAATTATAAATTGATCTAGAAAACAGTAGCTTTTTTCTCTCTAAAATAATATGCTATGGTTGAGACTCTAACCCATGGAAGTGTGGTTTTTTTCCTGCAGAATGTTTCCATAATGTGATAAGAAATTAGAATGATAGAGAGCACTGAAATAGGAGTCAATAGACCTCAGCTTTAGACTTGGCATACCCATGATATTTAGACTTGGCACACCAATGAAATAGCTGGGTGACTTTAGGCAAGTCATTTCCTTGCTCTTCTGTTTCCTCTTCTATCAAAAGAGGAGTATAGGAGCATTGTGTAGGATAGCCTCTAGAGTCCTTCCCAGTGTGAACCTTCTAAACTTTCCTGTCATTCTTCCATTTGTGAGTTTGTTTGCCCTGTTCTATACACTAGTTGCTGCATTCCCAGCTTGTTTGTGATAGAACAGCCCTATCTGAAGGCAGAAACTCTTGTCCCAAGAATCTGTGTGGGGTTAGGGATGGCTTCCAGACTCACCAGCAGGAATATGGGCATCTCTTGCTGTAGCGACAGCAGTAAAATTGCCACTCTCGATCCAGCACTGACTCAAAGTAGCGGCTCTGGAACCCTGCCACCAGTCCATTGTTGGAGCACGTCTGGTACCTGACAAGAACAACCCAAGGAACATAAGGACTTTGATACACAAACAGACCCCTTCCCAAAACCCAGCTTCCCACAATTACTGAGTGATGCCACTATTTAATTGACCCTACAATCCTAAAACTTCATTGTATTTTTATGTGAATAATAAAGGCTTTGTTACTTTGTAGAAATGACATACTCACTGCTAAAATTCAAGCAATTCAGAATCTTTCAAAGGAAGGAAACTTGGAGAACACTGTTCTTGATATTTCCATATGAATGCATCATTAGATGGAAGAATGTATAAATGGATGGATGTAGAGACATAAAATTTTACAAATTCAAGATTGTATTAGTCATGCCATTTTAAAATAAAAGATAATAGAATCCCATTTACTTGAATTTTAAATTAAAAAGAGAAACCAATGAGCACAAAATGAGTTGATAAACATCAAATAAATGTTTTTTCTTCTCAACAGCAAAGCCCTAGAAATTTAGCACAAGTATGAACCCTAGAAATTTAACATAAGTTTACCCTATGTATAGCACACAAAGTTCATATGGGTGAAGCGATTTGTCCAGGGCATTCAGGTAACCTGGGGGAAGCTGCAACCACAATGCAAGCCATGGGCTTCTTATCTAGGAATCTTTCTATGACCTACCCACTCTATAGTAAGATCTACACAATCAAGGAGTATTTCACCCAGAATTTTATTCCCAGTGCCCACTGTATGTCCTGGCAAATGGATGCACTTCTTCCTAAGTTGTGATGGGTCGATTGAATTTCTCAACTTCCCTCTACCTATTCTAGCTGTTGCTGTTAGGTGCTGTCAAGTCAGTTTTGACTCATAGTGAACTATGCACAACAGAACAAAATACTGCCTCTCCCTGCACTGTCTTCACAATGGTTGCTTGAGCCCATCTTGGAACTACTTGGATCTTGTCAATCCATCTTATTGAGAGTCTTCCCCTTTTTCACTGACCCTCTACCAAGCATGATATTCTTCTCCAGGAACTTGTCTCTTCTGATAACATGACTCTTCTAGCCACTCAGTACTAATCCTCCAAATAAAGTAACCTCCTCCAGTCTACAGACCTCCTTGGGGCTACACAAGTTTTCATTCTCTTTCATGCTATTGCTGGTCTAGGAATCAGCTCTTTTTATCTTCACAGACCTTTCTAACTAGCCTAGTCTCTCTCCCTGACCCTACCATGTTGGTTTACAACAGGGTAATCTTGTCTTTCTTTGTTCTGTCCCTAGTACTACTTTCTCTCATTCTGCCCCTAAACTCTGTTGTTGTTACTGTTAGGTGCTATGGAGTCAATTTTCAACTCAAAGCGACCCCATGTGACAGAGTGAAACTGCCCAATAAACTTTCCTAATCTCTACAAAAGCAGATCACCAGGTCTTTCTCCCATGGAGCTGCTGGGTAGGTACCAATGACCAACCTTTCATTTTGCAACTAAACACTTAAACATTTGCACCATCAGGGCTCCTTCCCCTAAACTGTACTAGTGCCTTCAGATTTGTCATTTTCTTCTCTGATGATAAAGATGCTGTCTCCCACAGGGGAACAGGGGGTTTCCACCTTATACAGATGAGATCTTTCACAAGCCCTATCAAAACAACATGCTAGCTACCTCTGATTTGTTTGCATTTTCTACCCACCCCTGCCATCGATCATGTTTCCACTTATAAGTGGGCAGAGTAGGCTGCTATCTGTATAGCACAACTAGAGAGCTGTTGGAAATATGCCACTATTTTCCAAGTGAAGATGAGTTTCCAGGAAATAAAATGGATAAAGTAAGAATAAGGACCCTGTGCAACAGAAACCTTGATGACACACAAAATAGGGTAATATCATTAGCAACTGGATTTCATTTTGTTCCTTTTAACTACTGGAAATGAACTTGTGGACCTGACAAAACTAGATATTAAATATATTACTTGTCTCTGATAGGAAAATATCTCTCTTTCTCATTCATTTGGTCATTCATTCATATATGCATTCAAATATACATTTATTCATTCATTCATCCATTCAACAAAGCCATACTCTGCTACTATTCTGTATCAGTCACTGTGCTACCATACTGAAAGATAAATTGAGAGATATGCTTGACACTTGGTCAGTCACACAAATTAACACATGCCCCTTGTTCCTAGGACTTATAAGAAGTTCTTGCAGACCATAAAGAGCTCAGGCTATAAGGTATCAATAATGCAAATCAAAATGTAAATTGAGACTTATGGTGCTTTGATTATCTAGTATTCTTTGCTCTGCCATTATGCCCATCTCTTCAGGAGCATTACCACATTGGAAAATGCCTGGCACATTTCTGGAGGCCACATAATTGGAAAGGGCTGCTAGACTTATGGCATAGAGGGAGGGTAGTATCTGATATTTTAGGATGGTCTGTTATATCTTTTGGAGCTCTGGTGGCATAATGTCTAAGGCATTTGACTGCTAACCAGAAGGCTGGTGGTTCAAACCCAAAAGCCACTCCTTGGAAGGAAGGTTGGGCAATCTACTTCCATAGTGATATCACCTCAGAAACCCAAGGAGGGGTCGCTATGAGTTGGATCCAACTTTATGGCAGTGAATTTGTTTTTTTGGTTTTATTATACCCTATATCCTAGTAATGTAGTTCAGAGTTAACTTAAAAATAACCCGCTAACAGTCTTAAACAAAGCCCATATGTGTCCAAAGACAGAAGGTGCAGCAGATTGATGCTCTCTGCAACTGTCCCTCTTCACATCAACTTGCCCTCTTAGCATCTTAGATGCTGCCTTCCTCTAAAACAGAGCCCTCTCAAGAGTGAGCTGAGTTGAACATCAGTTCCTCTGAAGCTGTGGTTCCATTGTCTTGGTTTGTCCTATGCATGCAGACTACTACAGGGGACAGAGTTCCCATGGTGGTAAATTCCCTGGAGTAAAAATAAATGTAGTAAGATAAGCTGATCTGTTTCACAGGGTATAAGTTCTGAAGGCCATCCAAGTTCCATGAATTCCCCGCCGGCTATCGGCCAGGCAGCCACCTCACCAACCCGGTATGGGAAGTGTGTGTCACTTTCCCACACACCACCTCAGATAACACTGTCTTGTGAAGATTATTTGTATATCTAAGATCCTGGAGCTTAAGAACATATGGTCATTGTTAGATAACTGAGCATATTCCCTTCTCCTAGCTTTGGTCAGATGTCTTCACATGTTTGTTTTCAAGACATTCTTTAAAAATTTTATTTATTTTGTTGTTGGTGGTGAGAATACATACAGCAAAATATACACCAATTCAACAGTTTCTACATGTACATCTCAGTGACATTGATTACATTCTTTGAGTTGTGCAACCATTGTCACCCTCCTTTTCTGAGTTGTTCGTCCCTCATTAACATAAACCTATTGCCCTGATGTTTTTTTCTAAATATTTTAGTTGCTCTTATCAACTTGCATATGTTGTTGTTGTTGTTATGTGCCATGTAGTCGGTTTCGACTCACAGCGACCCTATGTACAACAGAACAAAACACTGCTCGGTCCTGTGCCAGTCTCACAATCCTTGCTATACCTGAGGCTGTTGCTGCAGCTACTCTGTCAATCCTTATTGAGGGCCTTCCCTTCTTTTGCCTACCTTCCGCTTTACCGAGCATGATATCCTTCTCCAGGGAATTGTTCCTTCTGACAACATGATCAAAGTAGGTGCGATGAAGTCTGGCCATTCTTGCTTCCAAGGAGCATTCCAGCTGCACTTCTATATGCAGTTTGCATATAGATAGTTCTTAAAAGAGCATAATGCTCAAGACAGATCTTTTTTACTTGTAAAGCTAAACTATTGTTTCATTTTAAGAAGACTTCAGGGAATATTTTTGGTTTAAGGTTTAAAGACTATCTCAGGACAATAGTTTTATGGGTTAATTCACCTTCCATCACCCCAGAAAGTGTGGATTCTATTAGAATTTCAAATTCTGTTCTGCATTTCCCCCCTTTTAATCAGGATTTTTTTGTAGAATTTTGGATCAAAATGTTCAGCAATGGTAGCTGGGCACAGATTGTCAACATGTTTTGATACAGAGTTTGCTTAGTGAGTTTGATAGTGCTCAATGTTTGGATGTGCCCAATACAATGAAATCATTCCTTCAGAAACTGGATCTGTATAGGGTGATATTTTTACATTCATGTGAAGAGCAGTGTAACAATGTGGTTAAGAGAATGAGCTCTGAAGCCCAACTGTGTGCTCCACCACTCCTAGCTGGGTCATCTTGGGCAGGCTTCTTAAACTCTAATGGCTTTAGTTTCCTCATCTGTAAATGGGCATAGTAATGTTGCTGTTGTTGTCAGATTCTGTTGAGTCAGCTCCAACTCACAGTGACCCTGTATATAACAGAACAAAACACTGCCTGGTCATACACCATCCTCACAGTCCTTGGTGTCCTTGAGCCAATAATTGCAGCCACTGTGTCAATCCATCTTGAGGGTGTTCTCCTTCTTCACTGACCTTCTACTTTACCAAGCATGATATCCTTCTCCAGGGACTGGTCCCTTCTAACAACATGACCAAAGTAGATGAGAAAAAGTCTGGCCATTCTTGCTTACAAGGAGCATTCTGTCTACATTTCTTCCAGGACAGATTTGTTTGTTCTTCTGGCAGTCTGTAGTATTTTCAGTATTCTTCACCAACACCATAATTCAAAATCATTAACTCTTCTTCAGTCTTTCTTATTCATTTTCTGGCTTTCACACACATATGAGGTGAATGAAAAAACCATGGCTTGGGCTAGGAGCACTTGGTCTTCAAAGTAACACATTTGTTCCTTAACACTTTAAAGAGGTCTTTTGCAGCAGATTTGTCCAGTGCAATATAACATCTAATTTCTTGATTGCTGCTTCCATTGGTGTTGATTGTGCATCCAAGTAAAATGAAATCTCTAACAGCTTCAATCTTTTCTCTATTTATCATGATGTTGTGACTGGTCCAGTTGTGAGGACTTTTGGTTTCTTTATGCTGAGGCATAATCCATACTG